AAGACATACTGGCTAAATGACTACAAACTTGTTCTTGACTAAATGGTACTGTGGGCAGCACAGCATGAGGGCTGGAAGCCTTAATTGCATGGAACTTTGCATATGTGTGGTAGAAGTGTAATCAGTGAGGGAAAACAAACTTTTGAAACCTTATTTTTAAGGGAAGAAAATACTTTTCAAGTAGTTTTTATCCCATTGAGATTATGACTGTAAATCATGCATTGACTCCCATGCAGTTGTCTGCCTGCTCTGAGAACATTCTGAATTTCCACATACTTGGTAGGATGCTAATGTTGCCCGAAGGTCTTTTTATTCCCAGGTCACACTGGAAACACTGCTTCTTTCCAGCTTTATAATCTGAAATAAAATCACAAACACTGGCGTTAGCAACGTAAGAATTCATATTAGGAGTATCTTCATGGTTAAATTTTTAGCTCTGTATTTTTTTTCCTCGTTTTGGCATGATGCATTTGGTTATGTAACCTTGATGTAGTGACTTAATGTGGAAATAAATGCACAGAAGTTCTTGAGTTATTTATCTTTATATATTACTGATCGTTGGCTGAATAAATCACCATCTGCCAGCACTGAACTACAGACAACCAAACTGCACTTTTATGTCTCTAATTCTATTTGATTGAAATAGAATTACCATCATACCACTGTGCAGAAAAGTGGTGTGATGGTAAGCACTGCAGCCTCACAGCAATGACATCCAGGATTTGAGTCCACCAGCTGGCTGAGGCCTCAGTCTCCATGTTTTCCCACACGGGTCAAAAGACATTCCCGTTGCTCATGGGTGTGAAAGGTTGTCTCTCTCTGTGCACTAGCTTTGCTAAACTGGCAACATGTTCAGGTTGTACCTGCCTCTCACTCCATGATAGCTGGGACCGGCTCCAGCAACCATCAAAGTGGAAGAAAATGAATGGATAAAAATCCTGTTGCAACTATGATAGTACAGAGCTTCAATGATCACTGTTGTAGTGTATCACTTGTGCTAATATATGATACTTTTGGCCACACTACTGATCCATTTTACTCAACTTGCTGTTTTGGCATGCGTTACTGTTATAATGTTCAGTGAGTTTTCTTGTAGAGACTGGTCCCTCACATTTGTTCTTTTCCTGCAACCCTTGAGGGAAAAAGCAAAAAAAAAAGGAAAAGAAACATTTATTCCTCATCCAGCAATGAGCTGTCTGTCTCCTTGTGTCTGACCTCCTCTTTCACGACTTTCTTTTACTATTGTTTCTTGATCCATCTCTATGTCTTTATTTGAAGTGATTATTTTTACTAGGAAGACCTGTGGCTCGATTCATGGTAATGCATCTACTTTCGGTTGCCTACTCAAAACAACCCAGCATGACAGTGGCTGAGGATACAGCTATGGGTGGGAACAGGAACAGACAATAGAGACTAGATTTGTTGTGGATTGCAAAACTTTGCTACAAAAAGGCCCGCACACTGACATGAATACAAGCATGCCCTAAAATGAAGAGAAAGAGAAACACTAGAAACACTTACATGCGTAAATGCTCATGTACAAAAATATAAGGTGCTAGAAAGGCATGACTGGACTCGCTATCGTTGTCGTTATCTCCTGTGTGCATACACATCCACAGCAGTTACAAAAACATAGTTATAATTGTGGCCTTGTTGCTCGAAGTAATATGCAGAATTTTATTACAGTAGTTCGTTTACATTACGAGGCATCTGATCGAACAACGTCAATTAAGCAATTAGATTTGAAGTTGATGAATGTGTTTGCTCACAGTTTGATATGCAGAACATAACCAATCAGTCTTCTCGAAATGCATTATCCCCAGAAGTGGCAGAAAAACCTGTGCATTTCCCAACCAATGTTACGTAGGAAACCCAATATTTTCATTCACAGATGTTGATTTACAAGATTAAGCCCTGGTTTTGCCCAGTGAAGACAGATGTCACTTCCTGTTATTTATATGCATGGTGAGTATCCAGTTAGGCTTCATTGCAAAAGAACCTGACCTTTTTCTTGAAAACATAAGAGAATGTTTAAGAAGTGACATGCCAGTTCATGTCAAGGGATAATAACATAATAAATCTCATTCACCAGCATGATGTTGTTTCAGCTCAAATCTGCAGTCACTTTGGAACCTGCTCTCTATCAAAATAACAGCCACTGTTCAAATAAACTCAGCACACAAGCCCGGGCCTGGTGTTTCTGACATTCACAAGCTCGAGCTATTCTCATGAAGATTAATGTTTTTCTCTCTCTCGCTCTTTTAGGTAATCTAATATCAAGCACGTGTTTACCAAGGATAATGATATATGTTTATGATATATCAAATACGATAAGGTTCTTACGTGTCCATTTTGCCACGCGTTTCTTTCCAAGTAACCTGAAACCATTAAAGCAAGAAGTAAGCATTTTGAATGTCTGTGTAATACTTCTCAGATACAATAGAGAGGATCAGCTGAACTTTGACTTGGCTGCAACTAAAGCCTGCCGCAGCAGTTGGAGTTGGTTACTCAGCCGTGGCTTTAGGTTGTTGTGAACACATAATACTAGCATGCATACACCCACCCTGTCACTTGTCACGCATGCAAAAAGAAACACACATGCTTCCATAAACAAACACTCATGTGGCGTTCACACTGTGTCACTGCAAGCACACCGTCTCACATAAACTATTTATTGTGCAGCTTTTTTACCAGGCAGCACAATGTAAGAGGGACCATGCATGCTACACGTGCAGTTGGTGCTCCGGATAGCGAGAAGAGTTGTAGGTTTGGTTAAGAATAGAATCGCACGACTCTGAAACAGCACCGTTTTACTGCACATCTGTTTACTTTGAAAGTGTATCTCTTGCATTCTTACACTTGAGTTGGTGACTTCATCACTTCCCTTAGGGTGCAGAATATATAAGTGAGTCAGGACACTCAACAGGATTTCTCTCTGCACGCAAGCGGCAACTGGTAAGGGAGGGTCTACACTTGACCACAGACATGTGGTCTTATCTGTTCTGGGTATGTGTCAAGGTTCCTGATAAAATGTCTAGTGCAGTATTAATGTAATTGTTGTAATTACAATTATGGTTTCAAATAAGGGTATTTTTTTCTAGGCTTTATAAATAATGTAGAAAGAATTAAAATTTCTATGCACTTGCTCACAAAGCACTTGCTTTCTTTTCACAGAAACACATATTCACAGATTACATTTAACATAATGTTGAGTCAAATTAAAGGAATGTTTCTAGCCCTCTTTTTCCACTCAGATTTTCTTTACTTGTGTTTCAAATGCTAGGTCGCAACATTCAATGGACTTACATCAAAAACTGAATAGTGGCTACCAAAGATGAATTAAACTTAATAATATTTATGATGTAGAGGAAAGCCTGTATCAGTGTAAAGTGGTGGATGGATGAGTTGGCAAATATGGGACATCATGTGCATCCTAAAAGTAAATGTAGATAACACATAAGAAAGAACCAAATGGGGTTTGAGGTGGTGCAAGCATTGTTACAGGACCAGAGTGAAGATGGAGCAGGTGTGGAGACCAGGAAGGCTTAGAGAGGCAGAATTTTAATCACCTGGGCAGAACACTAGCCACGGGTTTCTTGAATCTCTGTGAGAGGTCCTGGGTTCAAATCCCGGATGGGCCCCCAATTGTTTCAACTAGCTCCGAGGTCACAACAAAGAACAGAGACATGCTACCCATTGAATAGGGATTACCAAAGGGTTTTTTTTCTTTAAAAAATGTAATATTTACCATTATGTCCTTATTAGTGGGTAAAGCAGTGCATAGATGAGTTGTCAAGTCTATAGGACATGATGTACAAATGAGGCCCAGAGACTGCTGCAGGACCAGAATGAAGACGCAACAGAAGTGGACACCAGGAAGGCCTAGAGAGATTTTAAATACCAGGGCAGGGCTCTAGCCAGGTGTTCTGCATTTTTAACCATCTCCTGAATCTCCACCCAGGAAACTCCTGCAACACAAAAACACATGTGCACATTGCAAACCTGCACAAAGGCCTGGGGCTGCAACAAACTAAGTTATTTAAAAGAAAACTCAGCAGATTTTCTTTTCCTGGCTCTGATCTTCACAAAAATCACTGGAAAAAAAAAAGTTTGAAATGATTTATGACCCCCCTCCCCCCCTACACCAGCACCAGCCATTACCAGAGGCTTCGTGTTGTCTGCTTGTCTAGCTGTGCATCTGTATGTGTCATTCTTGTGAATGCAGTATCTTAGGAATGCCTTGAAAGAATTTCTTTAATGCTCCCACAAGTTTTAACTTTTACATACTAGACTCTAAGAAATGCTGCTCTGTAACTTAACATGGTTTTCCACATTGTGGCTGAGTTGCTTCCACTTTGATAAAACCACTTACAGTTGATCGTGGAAGTAGGGAAGAAATTTTACGAATGTGTAATCGGAGACCGACCGATTACAATAGCACGGATTGACTGAGATCTTCAGAATGACCCATTTTTCACAAATAACTACGTGTTTGATTTTTTCTGTCCTGTCTCTCTTCCCTAATTCGCAATCAGTCGGCGCAGATGGCCCCGCCCCTCCCTGAGCCTGGTTCTGCTGGAGGTTTTTTCCTGCTAAATGGGAGTTTTTCCTTCCCGCTGTCGCCAAAGTGCTTGCTCATAGGGGGTAATTTCATTGTTGGAGTTTTCTCTGTAGTATTGTAGGGTCTTGACCTTACAGTATAAAGAAAGATCTGATCATCAGGGGGATTATCGACTTTTCATGGAGCTGAAACTGAAGAAATAAAAATCCCTGACGCCTAACATACTGTAGCACTGAGTAAGCAAAGAATTCATCATCTTCAGCATGGTTCATGAAATAATAAACATTACATGTTTCTTTTCCCAAAATCCACTGTTTTCAGGTTCTTTATTATTCATCACATTAAAGCTTCTTTCATTATTATGGTCTGTCTTTATTGTCTTACAAATATTAAGTTATCCACAAAAATAAAATAACTTAGATAATAACCATATTAAAACATACAAATACACACATACATACATTTATGACATGAAAAAATGCATATTGCTGATATCTTCCCAGAGTTTTCCTGGACACAGTTAAGTATGTGCAAACTACTTATCAGGATCAAAATAAACTGTTACACTGGAAATATAATCCCAGATTTTTTTCTCTGCTTTCAACACAGAAATATATTTACTCAAAATAAATTACACTGTCTGATAAGGAGCCGTACTCATACAGGTTTCATGAAACCAAATATGATCTTATAAATGTGTACAGGCAGAAATCCATATCAATGTTCTTTTTTTCTTATATATAGTTAGAAGTTGACATCAGAATATCCCTGTAGTACACATCAAAGAAGTGTGAAGTAGGTGAGTGTAGATATATTACACAAAGCTTACAGTGTTGCACACATTACATTGCATCACAAAACAGGAAACATTTGATTGATGACAGTTTTGGATGTTTATAGTGTGAGGAACTGGAGCGTGTTTGTGCGCACTCAGTTTCCTGAGGCACTTTAAAAATTATTGATGGTATTCGGTGCAGCATTATTCATTTTTATTTACAGTGCTGTTCAGATCATGTTGACGATGAAAACCGTTCTCGGTCCTCTTACATTACGTACCACACACAACACGGACCACACATTTTGGATGACATAAATCTGGAGCTGTGCGACATCTTCAAGGATTTCTGAATACACGGGTACACGTTCGTGCCTCAAACGGTTTTCGAACAGGGACTATGAAATGAATCTTATAGTGTATAGACACGGTTCTTGGTCTGTCTGAAGCTTATTAGTGGAAACATTTACAGTATCTAGACAGCCACCATGAGAGAAAAGGAAGTGTTTTTTTGATACTTGGAGTCAGCGCCAGCAATCCGGGTTTCAGATCACACTTTTGATCTTTAGACTTCAGCCACTCAAATTCATCGTTGCTGTTTCTAAAGAGGTCATTGTCGTGTTCTGCTCATGAAGGCAGCATTGCAATCAAATCAGTTCTACCTCTTTTTTAACATTTTTAACATTATTATTAGTGTTGGCAGGGGTAGTAACACTGACTTTCAGTTGAGCCAGACAATCATTCAACGTATTCCATGTGCAACATGATAGCTGCTATAAATAAATATGGAAAATTCTGAACTGTCCTTAAACAAGGTATAAAATCCTTCAGTGCCCCAGATATGTAAGTGCTTTGTCAAACTGTGTGCACTATGAGTCCTGACGTTTTGCCTCTACATGTAGCAGATAGGAGACAAGGTAAATAATAACCATGGCTGGATTTATGCTATGCTATAAGTGATGGTACTTGCAATTGAGGATCGAGGGACAACTTTTTGGTGTACGATCTGTTTCAGAAATATACTTGAGTTTAAGTTTTGTGCAGATCTTATGTTCCCCCTGCAAACTTTCTCTCTACTACTTACTTTAAACTTCCTCTTTGCTCACTTGACTCTCATGCAGCTCTGTGCCAGTCACAATGTATTGAATTTATTTCAGATTTGTATCTTTAAATTACTATGTTCCTCGACCTCGTGATGAAGGCAGTATACATCCAAGGTCTTTGAGTTGTGGCACCTTTTCACATATGCTGCATGTGCACATTCTTTACCAACATACACTTCTATCTTTCTGCTGGCTCAACTGCTTCCCACTCTGTTCTTGCACATCTTCTCTGCAAAGAAAAACTGCAGTCCACCGCAAAAAAGAACGGGGCACACAACTTATGGTCATGTCCCCATTTCAAAGTAATATTCTGGCTTAAAAAATGTCTCTTTCTCTCCGTTTTGTTTGTTTAGCCTTTTGGTGTGTGTTTCTTCATTTACAGACGCTGACCCACTCTGTTATTCGGCACTCTTCACAGACCACGTAGCAGCACCAGTGAAACTTGCAGTTGCAGCGTTCGCTTCGCGTCTGCTGCAGAATGTTGTGGCCCCTGCCGCAGCACAGACTCTCACAGTTGTCCATGCCCGGGCTGGTCTTGTTGCAGATCCGGCCCTGTGTGCCCGCTGAATCCGAGCCCAGGTCTCGCTCGCAAAAATCTGGTGACTTTTCAAAGTAGACTAGTTCGTTGATGCTGGGTCGCCGCCGATGGTGATGGTGATTGTGCTGATGATGGTGATGATGGTTGTTGTGATGGGAGTGGTCCAGCTGTCCAGTGTTCCGGTTGTGAGCCTTGATAAGCGTGGCGATGTGGAAGCGTTCTTTGAGGATTGAACCCACCACCCGGAACTCTGGAGTGACCTGCCAGCAGGTTTTCAGCTGGCAGCTCCCCGAGGTCCCATGGCACTTGCATTTCCTTCTCATGTGGTCGAGCACCACCTGGGAAAAACGCAGAGAAAAGGAGAGAGAGTAGGATGGAGTGAGGAAGGAAGCAGAGGCGAGGAAAAGAGCAGAGAGAAGAAAAAAAGAAGATTAACACCTGCCTCGATTACTGGCTTTGTTTTAAGGTTAACATATACAGATGAAGGGTGTTGCTGTACTGACTTTATTTCACCATGCAAGCCACTGTCCTAGTAATGAAATGCTTGAAGAAACATTGGCTCCATACTGAAGAATCCAGGTGGTCCGACTCTCAGTATGTTGTTAAATATGCTGCTATCAAATAACACACATGGATGCAGGTATCACCCAAACAGATAGCGCTGTCATTATTCATCTTTTGGCATCAGGTAGAGACTCTGAGCATAACCCACATGTAGCTGCACATTAGGCATCAGAGCATAACACTATTTACATATTTTCACTTTAATAGTTTAAGGCTGTCCAATGGAACTGCACGGACATCAGCAGCTAGATCTGCTCATTGAGCAGGCCCTGATACAGTATACGAAAACACTGCACTACTACACTGCACACAATTTAATTCTTACATTAAGCCTCAAAGAATGTTTATGGAGTCTACAATCCAAATCTGCACACATAAACAAACACAAAATATCCCGTTATGGCGAATGGTGCGGGATCTGCGTACACTTATATCACTCATGACAAACCCTCGGTGCATCTCAGTGCGTGCGTGTGTGTGTGTGTGTGTGTGTGTGTGTGTGTGTGTGTGTGTGTGTGTGTGTGTGTGTGCACGTGAATGTTTATCAGTCATCACCAGCCCTAAACTTTAAGATCCAATTACCAACAGGAACACCAGGCCACCCAGAGTACTGACAGATGATACTGCTGCCACCCCTATCAACACACTGGCGCAAGCTGGACACTCGCACAATTAAAGACATGCTACACATGTGCTAGCAATAAGGGTGCTTATTCTCTCATACACATGAAAAAACAAGAACTTCACCCACACTTGTTCACTTTAGGTGGAATCAGACAAAAATCAATACATGGCTTCAGAAAAGGTGTTTGTGGGTATTTGTCTATATTCACATTTTTATGTATGTGGTAAAAAGCCTGAGCTGTTCCTCTGCTTTTGTATTGTTAAGCTCTGTTTTTTGTGTTCGTAAATTTTATGGTAAAACTACCATCTAATCTTTTAAAGAGGAAAAATAGAAAGTACAGAAAAAACATGAGAGATAAACCTTTATTGAGCTTTTTAAGTCTTAAAATCTTGTTACCTACCAAAATTGGCCAATTAGGATGGAAGCCAAAAATCAAATACCCAGTCGTCTGTTTTATGCAGAGGTAGCAGGACCAATTTGTAAACGTCGTAATGTTTTGAGGGTTTCTGTGTGTGTGCAGCACACTGTTTCATGCTGTGCTTTGTGGGTTTCCGACTTGAGCTAACATTGCCAAGTAAAGGCGTGAGTCATCTGTTCATGACAAACATGTGAAATGCACATGAAAAGAAAACCCTCGTGTTTGCCACCGAGGCAAAGTTCAAAGGTGACCAGTAATATTAAAAACATGAGTAACGGCACAAACACATCAGGATGTGATGCATCCGTTTAAAGCTGCAAAATCCTACATATAGTGTTTGAAAATACATGTTTATGTTTGGAGATATGTTTTTCTGCCATCACTCAAGCTTGCCTGCCAGTAATGAGTCTTTTAAGTGGAGAAAATTAAACGTTGGAGGCACCGATACTACACTTTAAAGCCATTTAGATGCTATATTATAACAATTGTGCAAAAGAATGCAAAATATTTTAACCTTGCCCATCACTCTATGTTCATAATGTGCTACAATAACAGAAAGTGACTTAGGAGTGTGCTTTTTGGATAAACATGGTTACACTGTCATTGGGAGTGTTGAAAGGAAAGTTTCAAGACGCTGTGATCAGTGGCGAGGAGACGCTGTACTAGACACTGTACGGCTTTATGGTAAACAACACTATAATTGCTCAAGCGGCACTTGCACTGAGTTCACATTGTAACTTCTGGCTCAGTTTTTACATGAGGCCAGAGGCAACCCCAGAATCACAAACGTGCTGGCCTTAAACACACAGCAAAGTCTGTAATCATGAAACGCTCCAACCCACTTAAACCTTAAAGAGACAAACTGACCTAGGAGTCATAATTGCATCCACATTGCTACTGTTTGATGGTATATTCACAGCAGGACAGAGCTTTCAAAGAACAGTAAAACAACAAAACAACCAGCTTAAAGAGAAAGTTTCTTTCTCAATATGAGATATTGTTGCCGGAGAAGAACAGCAGCATCCCTAAAAACATCTTTCATGTTTATCAGAGTGGAGAAATTCACATAAAAGAAAATCTTTTCTTGAGATGCTCAGTGCATATGGAGATTAGCGTGCTGTGCATAATCAGTCAATTGCACAGCACGACTGGCTTCCATATCTAAATTTCAAAGTGCAACAAAGCAAATCCACACAGAGAGCTGCAGAAGTGAAATCAGCACAGCACGCTCCTCCTCGGGAGAAGGCTGATGATACGAACGCTCAAAGAGTCAGAAGAGTGAGCAACTCTGCAGAAATGGGCCACAGATTTCTAGGCTTCTGTGAATGAATTCTGATGCATCACTAAAGACAGCATCCACGTTTGCTTTTCACATCCATGAGCAGCATGCATTCGACCCATCGCTGCACGGTCACAATCATACCCTAACTTTTAGAACTAAAGGGCATCTTGCAAAGGTTTCGTATCAGCCATGTACCCGTGATTTCCTCGATGGCACCTGTTGCCAAACTTTCATTTTGATCTCAACAGTCGCCGGGTCACAGTCACGGTTGAGATGACTGTTAAACATAAATAAAACAGAACTGAACAGATATGTGAAGACCGAGGCTGGCACATGGACAGTTCCTGTAACGACAACACTGAGCATCTCTAAGACAACATTTTGAACCTTGCTCTCACGCTGGTTAAAAGGCAAGTAGGTGTTTCAAGTCTTCCACTCACTTTTTTCCAAACTACAAATACTCTGATAACTCAGACTGATGCAGCAATATTAACTTTGCAGTTTTTGTTTTGCTTTTGGTTTCTGATATAAAGTGAGAAAGCAGCCAAACAGATTTGCAAGACATTTCGATACTTGGTGTCCAAATTTTTGCTGCATTTCTGCTGCATCTTGCAACATTTGGCTAGATTCACAGGGAAGCGTCTTTCTTTCCATTTAAATTTTAACACATCTGTCAAAGCAGTATCAAAGGAATCATGTCTGAGTTCTTGTTCAGAGTGTATTTATTCTTTAAACACGAGGCATGGTGCACACCCTGTCGTCTGACTGGGTAAAGTTTGAAAAAAACCTCAACAAAAGAAAATAACTGCTGGTGAAAAGTGATTGATGTGTGTGGGAGATGTAAGATATTCTTCTGACGTGCAGATGAAAGGCACGTACGAGGTAACATGAAATCAGTGTGACGCTGGTTCATCTGATCATCAGAGGAGCACTGGTAAAGGACATTTTATGCAAGTAGAAATAAAGACGAGGGCACCCGAGTGAGTTATTTTACCCGGATGAATGACATTACCTTTAATAATACGACATCTTTGTCACATCTATTAATTGCTGTGGCTTCACTGAGCGCTAACTCCTCTTTTTCACGAAGGATGAAATGACAGATGACGAACAGAAAAAAAAGTCAACAACATTCACTTGTTGACTTCATCTATTTATAGAAGAAGCTGGTCTAAAATGAGGTTTTGTGTTGGTAACCGTTCTAACATAATGAGCTCCCCCTGTCCCTCTTCATTTATCAACATATTAAGTGTACTTTTCCAGATCTGGATGGCTCCAAGAATGAGGCTGTTTTGATTAATGACCAGATGAAAGGTTGTTATTTTTTCCTTTTGGTTTCTTACAGTTGCTCCTACTCATCTGTCCCTTGGGGCAATTACACCGCGCAACAAAGGAGACACAGACAAGTAACACAGAAAAATGTAAGAATATATATCAGTATATTTAGTTAGATGATGGGCGCTACATTTTCATTTGAAAAGGCCAAACTTTTGTTGACACCACTCTGGCAGTCTGATAGTTTGGAAACAATAATGCACACACTTGTGTTCACTGCCCGAGTTGGTCTTACCGGTTACCGTTTGTCGTTCCCTGGTTTGTCACGCTAATCACTTAACCCTTCTCTGAAAGAAAACAAAGTTACCGGCATTGGCTAACAGCTGTTTATTTAACATGAATACCAAATATGTTGCTGACCTTGTTGCTTCTGCACGCAGCTCTACACTACCTGTGCAGGAAACATGCACAGCAGACATAGATGGTCATGTGCAGTAATATTGTGTTTTCACTGTGTACCGAGATTACATTTGAAATGTTGATTAAATTATTTTTTTATGTGTCATTGTAGATGTAAAAATCTTTGATCCTGAAAATGAACCCCGAGGGCATTTAGGGCCCGTGGAGGAAGGAATGTGAGGTAAATTCAGAGGTGAAGGGTGGGGAGAGGAAAAGAGGCTGACAGGAGGAGATGAGCCAAAGGATTAGATACATTGTTTGATACACAAAGGCTGTTTGAGAGAGAAGTGTGCGTGGGTGTTATCACAAATCGCCTGCCTATCAGCCGTATAGATTAGATTGTGGTCAGCAGTATCAAACCTGTCAGCAGGGAGTATCTTGGCAACGAGAGATGGACATACACACAGCTTGAGTGACACTTACTTCTGTTAGTGTGCTCAGGTACTGCAGCCAGAGTTTGGGAAGAATAAAAAAGGACAATGTGTTAAACAAATAAAACAGCTGCCGGCTTTTAGAGAAAACAAGAAATCTTAATTTGCGGCTCACTGCGTTCTTTGGTCTTAAATCCTTGTAACGCATTTGATGAAGAATAGTTATCTGCATTAAACATTATCCTTTCAAAGCACTGGAGTAAGAATTTATTAATAAATGCCATTTTATGACTAATGCTTTGGTTTACCCAGCACATACACAACAGACTTCTTCAAAGTGGACC